ACACTGGGAAAACCCTAGCATCAATAGGAACTCCTGAAATCCGGATTTCTCGATAGATTTGAAGAGCACCCAGAGGTTCCCCATTTGAAACATAAGCTCCAATCATAGCATTCCATGTAAAAATCGTTCTTTGAGGCATTTTCACAAACAGTTTCTCTGCATTCACGATAGACCCACACTTACCATACATAAACACAAGCTTAGTACCCAAAAATACAGATTCACAAACATTGCAAGATTTTACAATAAGGGCATGCACCTGTTGCCCTTGTGAGAGAGCTTCATTGGATGCGCAGAGCTCTAAAACTGGTGCATAAGCTTCCTCTGGGATGGAGATCAGTGGATTATGCTGGGTGAAAAACCCACTAAACGATTGAAATGCTTCTCTCAGCCCTCCCTGTTTGCAAACGTATTTCAGAGAGGGTATTAAGCGGGGAATTCGAGGTAATTCGGGAATTTTAAGAGGTGGGTTTGTGCGGGTGGCTTCCAACACAAGGTGTGGTTTTAAGATTGAAGAGGTGTTGTGGAAATAGCAGTGTGGAATACTAGTCGCCATTGGAGTTACACGAGACTTGCATGAGATCCCAAAGCGATTTGCAGGGGTAAATTGGAGCCGAATGAGTAACTTAAAGGTCATGCAGTACCCGTACTTCCCCAGTAATTTTTCATACACTTAAAAACCTCTGTAAACACTCAGAAATATACTTTTAAACACCAGAAATATTCCAAACTTTTCTTGAATTATCTGAAATGGTAAGAAATACCCACCATATTTGAGAACTTCTCAAATCCAAAATATTCAAAAGCTTTCTCATTTGAGATACTAATTTATGCCTTCAAAATACTCCCAAAAAAAAAAAAAAATCTCTTTGAATACCCAAATGCTAAAAAAATTTTCTTTGTATCCAAACGGTCAAAAGATCTCTTAAATACTCAAAAAAAATCGAAATGCCCCAGATACCCGAAGTATTCAACCATTTTAGTTGGATAATTTAGGTAAAGGGTATATTTTAGGTATTTTAGATACTTGAAGCATTTACAGCTATTTTAAATATAAAAAAAGCATCTTTAGTTCTTTCAGATTTTGAAGAGCGTTTCTAAACATGAGTGGTGCCCATGGATGTTTATGGCAACTCACCATCTAGGAGTAATTTTTAGTACTATGTATATATAGAGTTGCTTCTATACATCTGGAGTATAAGAATGTACTTATGTTTTTACTGAATCAATAAAGATTATGGTAATCATTTCGAACCATAACCCCAGGAAGCTCCTTGTAATTTTACCCCCCAGATATTCTATGCCCACATAGAAAAACAGATAGAACAAGGCAAGAGAACACATGTAACCTCATTCTGTCTTTTGCTTGAAGAACACCGTGACCTTTGATTATCTAGAAAGCAGACCAACAATGTTGAAAGAGTGCATAAATGGGCGGCGGTTGCCCAGCCGCATTACGCGAAAAAAAAAAAGAATACACTCAACTAATTCATCATAATTACCCACTCCCGGCATACATTTTTGCTATACAGCCTGATTGCACACTTTGTTAGTTAAAACTTTCCCCGTCTATTTACATCAAAAATACCAGTTGTAGTCTAGATTCGTATCTCAAAACCACATAACGTCCTTCACTCAGCCTTAGATACAACAAAGAGCACCCCGTCCCTTCCCACGGGTGTTAGGAGCTCGAGCCAAATGGCACATACAGTATGGTCTGGACCTCGTTCCAGTCAAATCTTATCAGACACTTGTTAGAGGTTCATCTTCCTTTTACTGTCTTTGCTTGTCCGGTTTCAACCCCTGGCCAGTGGCCAGCCCTTTCCTTTCGGTTTCCATGTCATATTAACGAAGAATCCATTCTACCTCCAGAGAATGGATGGCCTAGCAAACCCGATAAGGTTTCCAATAAAGAATCGATGGCTGCTGGAAGAATATAGATTATCTTGTTACGTGTTATTTTCCATTGTTACCCCTTGTTAAATGAAGCTTTCAGGGTCTCATCTGGCAACGTCCAAGATACTAAATGGCCCCCAGAATCTCCAGTAAGTAGCTGCTTCAGGTCACTCGTTAGATGGAGGGCCGTCACTGGTTGCTTGTGGAACTTCAGTACCTTGTGGAGAACCAATCTGTACTCTGGTGCCTTATCACCCAAATTTAACCCAGCTATCCCAGTGTTTGTTGTTCTAGACTGGGTATTCAATGGATCAGTATAGTGAATCATATGCCACACTTTAACAGCCCCACTCTGGTGGCCCGTCACATACCATTTTGTTTCTAACCAATCAGAGGATGTAGAACTCGTTACTGAGAGAATGGAATCAGATGGCAGCTGTGATGTGTTCACCACGGCAAGACAGTCCCCATTGATACTCCAAACAGCAAGCAAAATTCCAGCTGCCGTCATAATTTCTGCAGTCAAATCATTAACATAAATTGCTGAAATAGGCGCTGGGAATTCCGAAAGCTGCCTCACAAAACCCAAAGAACTGAGATCCCATATAATAACTGTACAGTCATCTGATCCACTCACAATAAGCATGTAAGGTTGGCTGACATGAATACATGTAATTTTGGCAGTATGGGCACAAAGAGCCTTTTCTAACCGCAAGCACCGTACAACACGAGGCCCACCTTTGCTGATTCTCCAAACAGATACCAGACCATCATCAGCTCCAGTGACCAAAATGTGACCATCGTGACTAACACCAGCGCACTGAATCTGGTTACCCTCATGAAGATTTTCATGTGTCGAGAGAAGTTTGTCTTGATCATAGGTCAAAAATCTCAAACTACGGTCAGGGAAACCCCATGCAACATATTTCGTATATGTCCTTGGTTTAAGAAAACAATTTGTTCCTGCCACGAGAACTTTTTCGTGGGAAGTGATGATCTGAGTAACAGAAGACGAGTATTTACGTACTTCATGAGGAACAAGATGGATCGAATGCTTAAGAGGATGTGGAGTAAGCTTTCTGTCGGCCTTCCTTTTTACATGTGGTTTTTGGAATAGTTGCTTCGGGGTCTGACCAAAATGATTAATTTGAGCAAGAATGGAGGCTTTCATTGCGGGATCTGTAACAGAGTCTATGTCAACACTACCCTCGTAAGTGTAATGATAGAAAACATTAACTGCTTCCTCAGCTGCCTGTCAATAATAAAAGGAATAAAATGTTTTGTGATCAGGAAATAAATAAACTAATTATGAAGAAATAAGCTAAGCTGATAAATATATGTGCCATAGTGAAGTGATAAGAGATTGTGGACGCATGGGCTAAGTGCAGAAGTCAAATGACCCAATCCACCAATAACTTACCTACAAGAATCTTTATAAGTTAGATAAAAACAGGAAAACAACAAACAAGCAGCCAAATACTCATATGGAGAAGCATCAATAGAAGCCAATGCAATAACAAGCGTCCAGCTCATAGTGTTCTTCAACAGAACCTAAAACACAGCTAAACCTTCACACATGATATTTTAGTATATAGAAAAAGTATACAGGTGGCACTTTGACAGGATCCTGAGCAAAAGGGGAGGATAAGATATCAAACACAATGGAGAATTGACAGGATATGTAGAACTATGCATCAAAAAGATAGTCAACTTGGCAATTTTGAAGCTGGATGATAGCTGTGAATTCTGCAATTCATAAAGAAACATAAGAATTTTATTTAACAATCTGTACCTTTCCCCTCTGTTTGTATCCAAATATGAGATCTATCCAGTGATGGAGGTTTTCTGAAACATAATCCGACTCCGATGCTTCCCTATGCTTCC